CATTATTTATGGGGGGGTTGGGAAATGGGAGGGAGGAGGGGGGGGGCAAACGAAGTTTTACCCTTATAAATAGGGGGGTCAAAAAGTTTTAACACAGAGAAAGGGGGGGTCATAAAAGTTTTTGATTTCTATAATCACAAATAGCAAAAAAGAAGACTCTGAAAATGCTATTTCCAACGATCTAGAGACTCAAAATTTTCAAAATTTCCCTGCTCGGCGCCAATCATGGTGGCGCCTCGCGACCGTTGAGCCCACTAAGTTTAACAAGCTTTCTACCCCCTGAGTGACCCAGTTGTGGTATTTACATAAACATACCATGCAAGTACTGAAGTACACTTAACTGATCAGATTCGGTCTATCAACGCACAATGTAACGCTGTATATCCAAAAATCTGTTTCAGAAAATGCTCACATTTCAGTTCTAGGGGTGGAAAGGGGGAGAATACCCCCAGACCCCTCTACTAGAACATATGATACCACACCAAACTTTTTGTCACCAACAACCATCTGTCATCTCTCCACACTCAATATAGTATGGTCCCTTTTTGTAGATGCCCACCCCCAGACAAGTTCTTAAAAAACCCTGTGTTCAAATCATTTCGCTGTATGAAGACGGGTCATGGGTTAGGGTTATGGTAGGACAAATGTTGCATTGCAAAGCAGTAACACATACATAATATATATTTTTTAATCATATATGGTTGAATCATATTCACCAGGGTAAAACATCATGAGCTAGATTAAACAGATTGTCCTAATATCTAACTTTACCTGCAACGCACACCTGTTTCATTGCTGTTAATTTTTCAATCCACACTGGGGGGGAGGGGGTCAGAAAAGTTTCTACTTTTATGAGGGGGGAGGCACAAAAAGTTTGCCTTCAGTCTGGAGGGGGGGTCAAAAAAGTTTTCAATCCTTATTTTCCCCATTTCCCAACCCCCCCCCCCCCCCCATAAATAATGACCACTCCCTAATTGTCGATACGTGAGACGTGAAATGGCTATTTTCTTCACGTGGAAACGTCATCTGAATTCCCCCCCCCATTACTACCCCCTTTACCACCCACTTTATTACTACACCCTTTATCACACAATTATTGCATAAATTGGCTTAGAAGTACACGTTTAACTTAGTTTATTGCATATGTTACTTAATTTAATAAGGGGGAACTCTCGTAAGTCTCTTTTAAGCTCCCTTCAGTGACAGTAAGAAGTGAAATATAAACTTGGCAAAACATTGGGCAAAACAATATGAATTCCCCTCCTTCCTGAAATGTCCATTCGTAGATGCAAACGACGGTAAATACAATCGATTGATTTTAAATTTAATATTCAGGGCATTTTTAGGGGCAATCAGCCAGGACAGAATGGCTCATCTCTGCAAGTTTAAAAATAAAATTTTCAATTTAGGCTATTCAGGAAAAGTTATTTTTAGGCATACGATTCTGTCTACACGCAGTGTAGTGACTGAAAGTACACAAGGCTGTACTCGAGTGCATCTCAGTGAAGACAGTGAGTGCAATGACAGTGATGAATTGAGGACAGTTGGGAAACTTATCTCTGGTAATTTGCTGGTTTATGATGACTTCATTAGTGAAGTGGAAGAAATGATGTTATATGAAGAAGTTAGACCATCTTTAGAAAAGACAAGTTACCAACACGAACACTGGGATGATGTAAGTACATTTATACCGTAGAAGAACCCTATCTATTATTTATAATAGACACTTGCCTTGTTAATACATTTGCTGGCAGGCAAACTCCAATTAGCAGATTGCATCTATTTTTCGGGGAGGGTGTGTGTGTGTGTTCACAACGGTTGAGGACATCTTTTACCAGCTAAATTGTGACCCCATGGGATTCAGTTTATATACCCCTCCCCTTCCCTGGAAAATGGCTTTAATTGCAGACCACCACCCCTCACCCTGGATTTTGGTCCCTAATTACCCCACCCCCTGGAGTTCTGTGGTTGTTTTCATCCCTCCCCCTTGGCTTTCCAAGGCCTTTTTATACCCCTCCCCTGAATTCCCCATTGTCCTCCCCCCCCCCC